GATTGGCTCTAGTCAGGGCAGCGAGACTACCAAAAAGATTTGGCCTGCAGGGGTGGCTTCTCTTTTGGTGCTGGCAGGGCCTCGTGGGAGGCATGAAGTTTATTTCTTTTCAAAAAATCAAAAGCAATAGATACAGGAGAGTGTCCTGAGAGTTGAGTTCAAATTCTGTGCAAATCTAAACCCCGAGGTCTATGAAATGAAAACACCAGGCTTCACTGAAGCTACAAAATCATTGAAATAAAAAGCTTAAACCTAACCTATATCAGGACACTCTCCTGTATCTATTGCTAGGGGCTGGAGGACCGGCATCTATGAAGAAACCTTCTTTGTACAAGAAAATTCTTGCTTTGAATGGTTTGCATACAGGCCTAGAAGACCATACTGCATCCAGTGAAAATGCTGAAGCATTGAAAGGACAACTAATCCTAGTATCCTCAACTCTTTGTGAAACCTTATCCTATGTTTATCTCAAAGTCCTATGAAACAGTCCCCCAGCCCCTCAAAAATATTTTTCTAAATCTAAGTCTTCATGTTCTCTTGGTATCTAATGGATTTCTGTGACAGACTTTGTTTATCTGCAAATAAAAAGATTGATATAACATTAAAATAATGCCCATTTTATATACTGAGAAATTATAATTCTTGAAAGTTCTTGAGAGACAGACCATTTATCCAACTGTCTCCAAAATAATCAAAATACTTAGAAAACTTCCATCAATGGATATCAAATGGTCTGTCCCTGATATCAAATGGTCTGTCCCTGATGATAAAACAACAATGACACTTACAGTTCTGTCACATGATGAAGGCCTTTGGATGCTTGACTGTTACTGATAGCATCAGTTTTTGTTTCTGTCAAGCTGTTGAAAATAAAAAAGTTACAAAAATCAATTAATGAAAAGTCGACTTGTACGAACAGACTGTTCAATGCTATTTTTGTGAAGATATAAATGCTATCCATGGACCGCGGAGCAGGGGGGGCTGGGGGGCTACAGTCCCCCCCAATAATTTTCCCAACATTTTGAATTTTCGTAAATAAAGAAGCGAAGAGCCTCCTTATGAAATCTCACCATATATATTCTTTAAAAATTGCGTAAAAACTGAGCGTGAACAATTAAAATTGAAGCATTTTTGCGAAGTCTTTGTGATTTATTGATAATATCTCTGACTGTGTGCGGTAAAAATTGATAACGCCTCAAAACACTGGACATTTCCGAGAGTTAAGATTTCAAAAATTTCCTAACCCCCCTAATACCTCCTCGCCGCTAGCCCCTCCAAACAAATTCACGCTCCGCAGTCCCTGCTATCTATTACAATGCAATACCTACCTAACTGCCACTTGGGCAAGGCCTTTGGCTGACTATCTGTAGTCACACAGGACTACCTTTCAGTCACAGGTCGATACAGCCATTAAACCTGCGATACAGTGGTTATCTCATAACCTATGTTAGACATCTGGCCTTGATGGTTGTGCATGCATGGCATTGTTCACCCTGTTCAAGTTCTGAACTGGTTTTCTGCAAGAAAGCAATGTATTTATGTTAATACAATAATCTAAAWTCGAAAGACTGTTATAAAGCTTTTATACACTTGCCAATAATTGTTTTGAATCGTGACTGGTAAAACAATYGMAACTCTCTTGGGRCTAAKWARYAWYRTKG